TCCGATCCGCCTCTCCGTAACGCGGACCTCGACTCCGCGCTTTTCGTCGTCCGCGGACTAACCGCCCGGCATCTCAACGATTGCCGCGAAGCTCCGCCGGTAATCTTCCGATCCGCGACCGCCCGGCGGCGAAACGTTGAACCCGCGTGGTTATTTGCCTTCCTCACGCGCCAATACGATTGCCCGTGTGGGGACCTCCTGTCAGCAAGGTACGTGCCGACGGCCGGTACAGCCGAATAACGAGAGGCGAGACAAAGCTGTTCTCTGGTACTGTCCGTCTTCTGCCGTCCCGCCACGGAGCCTGCCGTCGGGGGCCTGCCTGCGAGGCAGGAGCTTCCTCGATTCTCTCGGAAGGCGTGTCTCGCCCTCCTGGGGTTCTGTGCCCTCTCGCGGATTCACACTCTGGAAAAAGGCACTCGCCGCCCCACCCCCTCCCAAGCCACGTGACGGGCCGCCAGCTCGCTCAGAGCCGAATAGCTTGCGTCTGCCTGCCACGACAAGCTTGTCGCAAAACGAATAGACCCTTCCCCCCCGCTCGCTTTCGCCTCCTGCCAAATTGAATCAACGCCTTACGCGTTTGTCGGCACTGCCCAGCTCAAGTCCTCTCGACGCGCCACCATGTATCTGGGAGAGAATTGCTCCCGGTGCGCGGCACATACTCTCCCGCTTCCTTGAATGAGGCCAGCTTGGCCACAATTCAGCGCGGCTGTCCCTTCACGCCGCGCCCGTCCGGTGCCGCGCCGCTCGATATTCTTGAAGCCCAGCCTGACACTTACTGCTCAGCTAAACCAGAATACATCTTTCACCGAATCCGCCCATGCCTTCGTTTCCTTCTCGCTCGTGGGATGCCTACTTTCTAGTAACAATGGATATTGTTACGACGCGATCGGTTTTCAAGCGTAATCACCCTTTGCGCACAACCGCTCGTGGCTGTCTGCTAGCGACTGCACTGTCTGCCTCTGCCGACGTATCTTCCGTCACCCTTAGGCCCTGCTAATTGAACCGAGCCTATCAATCATTCTCACTTCATGGTTACATTCACGAATGTCGATGATCTCTGCGCGCTTTAGTTAAGTAGGGGGGCCGGGATTCTAGCTTCCACCCCACCGAGTCGTCCACAATAGCACCCTCTCACAAGCGCAGCGCCCAGCACGCTCGCAAGTAGCCCCACGCCCCTGCGCTGCTCTCCCCGGCACCGCCCAGCTGCGCGGCAGCGTAGACCCCTCACCCAGCGGCCGGATAGCCGCCCGCCACTG